GATTTCACCTAATGGTATGCATAGGAATCAGATCGATTACATCTGCGGAAAGAACCACTGGAGAAGCCCAATAACAGCTGTGAAAACTAGGCCAGGAGCTGATTGTGGAACAGACCACCAACTACGCATATGCAAGTTCAAGCTGAAGCTGAGGAAAATTAAAACAAATCCATGGGAACCAAAATATGACTTTCAGTCTATCCCACCTGAATTTCAGAACCAGCTCAGGAACAGGTTTGAGGGCTTGAACACTAATGAGCGAAGACCAGATGAGTTGTCGGAGGCTATCAAGGGTATCATCCAGGAAGAGTGCAAACAGTCATTGCAAAGACAAAAGAGGAAAAGAAGACCAAAATGGATGTCAGAAGAGACTCTGAAAATTGTACTGGAGTGCAGAGAAGCCAGAGCTGAATAGAAGATTTCAAAAGGCAGCATGGGATGTCAAAGTAAAATATTACAATAAAATGTGCAAGGAACTGGAGTCAGAACATCAAAAGGGCTGAACTTGCTCAGCATTTGTTAAGCTCAAGGAACTGAGGAACAAATTCAAACCTTGTTATAATCAAAGATGCTTTGTTGTTGTTGTTGTTGTTGTTATGTGCCATCGAGTCGTTTGCGACTCATAGCGACCTTATGCACAACAGCCCTAAACCCTGCTCTATCCTGCGCCAACTGCACTGCCTCTGACACAGCCATCCCAATTACCCCAGTCACCGAATCAATCCATCTCATAGAGGGTCTTCCCCTCCTGCGCTGTTGCTTTAGGCAGAATATTAAATGATCCAGGAAGTATTAAAAGAAGATGGAAAGCATTTACTGAGTCACTGTATCGAAAGGAATTGGCAGACACAGAAGAATTTCATGAAACAACATATGAGCAAGAGCATATGGTGATGAAGGAAGAAGTTCAGGCTGTTTTGAAGGAAATGGAAAAAAATAAGGCCCCAGGAATAGATGGTATACCAACTGACACATTTCAGCTAACAGATGCTGCCCTGGACGTGCTCCCATCCCAAAGAAAGGTGACCCAACAAAGTGTGGGCATGTTGCTAGGAGGGGCTATTTCTTGAAAAGAGACATGATATTTGGAAGGATGGAGGGTCAGTTAAAGAGAGGAAGACCCTCGCCTAGGTGGATTAATACAGTGACTGCCACAGTGGACTGTAGTGTGTCAGGAAGTGTGAGGATGACACAGGATAGCACAGGATTCAGACCTGTTGTTCATAGGGCTGCTATGAGTCGTACTTGACTCATAGCACCTAACAACAACTAAGAAAAACAGGAGCTTTTGTGGCCTAGTGGTAAGGAGTTGTAATAACAACCTGAAGGCACATGGTTCAAATCCACCAGCTGCTCCACATGAGAAAGATGAGCAATACCCCTCCCATACAATTTACAGCCTCTGAAAACCTGATGAAGGGTCAGCTGTGATTAAGCACATAACAACAATAAAGGAAAACACATCTGCATATTTTGTGACCCCCAACACACAAGTGGGAGCTTAGAGGTCAGCAATTACGTGGCCAACACAAATGTATTTGGTTTGAATGTACCAGCTGCTCCATGGATAATGGATAAGCAGTCTTTTCCAGTGTGACTTACTGCTTCTGAAAACCTGCGGGAGGGTCAGCTATGGGTCAGTTCTGACTTGGTGGTACACAATAACAACAACAACATATTAGGCCTACCCCTGGAAGAGGTCAGGACACATTTTTTAATCCCTCTAGATTCTGGATTGATTCAGTGACTGAGGTAATGAGGGAAGGTATGTCAGAGACAATAAAGTTAGCACAGGATAGAGCAGGTTTCAGGGCTGCTGAGTTGCGATGAGTCACAAGCAACTCAATGGCACATAACAACAACAACAGATTCTGTCGGCCTTTCTTGCATAGCTGTGAACACCAGAGATTGGGTTGCTGAGCAGAATGGCGGTCCAAATCCAGGAGCAGCTTGGTAGGAGCAAGAAGAGGCAGTCTGCTCCCCTAAGCTTTACAGCCTAAGGGGCCGTTCTGTTCCAAACCTAGGGCCAACTCGACAACAATAGGTTTGGTGGTTATTTTCAGCTCCTGAAAACAAACAAAACCACTCAAACTACTTGCCATCCAGTCAATTTTGACTTGAGGGACCCCATGTGTGTCAGAGTAGAACTGTGCTCCACAGGGTTTCCAGTGGCTGTTTTGGATGTGGATTTTCAGGCTTTTCTTCCCAGGCACTTCTGAGTGAACTTGAACCTCCAGCTCTCTGTTAGCAGCCAAGCGACTCAACCATTCTTATCACCCAAACATTCAGCTCTTGAGGTTGAGCAAAATGGGAAGGGGGTTACTAGGCTTGAGCAGATGCATGGAATTAGGAAAAATTATCAAAAGTCATCCAAAAGCTGGAAATGAAGCCAAAAGAGTTCTCTGTATGTGCTTTCAAAATGAGAGTGAAACAATGCTCAGCAGCGTACCCCCCCACCCCACCCCCCCAATCATTTCACTAACTCAGACTCACTACTGTGGAGTCAGAACTGACTCTCGGCTGCCCTCCACTGGGTTTCTGAGGCTGGAAACTGCATGAGAGAAGGACGTCTGTCTTTCTCCCAAGGAAATGCTGGTGGATTCAAGCCATCAGAGAGGAATGGCTTTTGAATTAGTAGCACAACTCTCCACAGACTTTCTCATCAGATACTCAAATAAAGGATAAAGACTCTAGCACTTAATAGACTCTATGTTCACTCTAAGGGCTCAGACATGGTAACGTGGAGATTTTTGTTGGCTGAAATAACAAATTATCTCTGTCCAGTAGCAGGACATTTATTCCTGTACTTATTTACTCTGTAGGGCAGGTGCCAGGTTTCCTTACCTGTCCAGAGGAAAGGGCTTTAGAATACAAATCACAAGGATCAAATCCAGCAGGCAAAAAGTGGGAGGATGGAAGAATTAGTGAAAATGAGAATTACAGGGAAGAATTGGGGAAAGTGTGATTACATTATGGGTATTGACATTAATGTTATAAAACAGTCTGCATAAATGAGTGGATGAAAAACCAATTTGTTCTGTAAACTTTCCTTCATATCACAGGAAAAAAAATAGAAATTAATCATGAGGTGGATTGATTCAGTGACTGGGGTAATTGAGATGGGTGTGTCAGAGATGCGATTGGCAGAGTTTAGGGTCGTTGTACATAGGGTTGCTATGAGTCGCAGGCGACTCAACAGCACATAACAACAACAACCACCACAACGTCATTGCTATTGAACTGACCCTCCAGCAGGCTTTCTGAGGCTGTAAATTGCATGGGAGGACATTGTCCATCTTTCTCCCTCCATATAGTTGGTGGATTTGAGCCACCAGAATGATGGGGACTTTGGTTAGCAACATGACTCCCATGGACTGTGTCTCCAGAGCTCAATAAGTCATGTGTGGTACGTTCAACTATAAATCTTCTGAGAGAATTCACAAACTGTCTCAAATGGGCTTCAATTAGTAATGAAGAGATCAGATCTGAAAGGGGCCTGTCTCACGGGGAGAGGACAAACTGGCTTTCTCCAAGACCTTGCCCAGCACTCTCACCACATGTAGCTACTGGACACTTGTAACGTGCTTGTTTGAACCGAGTTTTGCTGTAAATGTAAAATACACATTGCATTTTGAGGATCAAGTATTTTAAAAAAGTAAATTATGCCATTAACAATTTTTTAAAACTCTTACATATTGAAATGGTTTGTTGTGGTGTTTTTTTTAAAAATGTATACAAAAACTCCCCAATTTACGACATATTTGAGCTATGACAAACAGCACTTAGGAGTATCTAGTTTTGGTTTTTGTTGTTTCTCTTTTGTGGTACATTATTAGTAATATGTATGTATCCAGTACTGTAGCATGCTATTTGCTGATGTTATTATTCTCTAGTACTCTCTGGCAGATGTTCAATTTTATGATTTACTGCTCAAACCGCTAGGAGCTCAGGTGGTTTTCATAGGGAGTTGTACTGCTAACTCAAAGGCCATTGTTTTCTGGAAGTTCAAATCCAGCAGCTTCAGAGGAGAAAAAGAGGCAAATCCTCCTGGGTAATTTACAGCCTCCAAAAACCCACTGGAAGGTCAACTATGAGTTAGGTCCAACTCCATGGTAATGGGAAAGAAAGAGAGATAATTCAAGGCACTGCCAGGTGATGGCCTGGTCTACAATAAGCTGAGAGTTGGAATGAATACCAAGTTAAGATGAGCAACATTCACCTCTTAACAACATAGGATGAATTGTGCATATGCCAGGCAGCCATTAGCACTGCATCGTGACAACACTGGCACCAACTTCACAGCAGATCAGGCCTATAGCATGACCTTACCCAGCAATTCATTCCATAAAAAGTACCATCTATTGAGCGAAATGAGGGCATATGGCTTACAATGGAGTCGTCAAGCTCGAACACTTGTCAGGCTTGAATCACTTCTCAGAGATTACACTGACATTTAACTTAAATATAAAATTTGATATTAAAGTAAATGTTTAATTAAACATAACGTTTAAACATAAACATTAACTTTTTTAAAACTATAATTTTTAATATGAAAATTTTTTTCTATTTTAAATATTTAAAAAAAATATTGCCCAGCTAGCTACTTCAAGACCATCTTTTCAAAATGTGAGGCTGTTCAAATACTTCAGATTGTCTTAGAGCAGAAGAGATGGCAGAGCAGGAACGACTTACTTGAACTTGGACGAGCCATTGTTGGGCAAATTGTTGTTTGTGCAGAGGCTGGAGACTTCAGTCCACAATACAGCCGGGAAACGAGCTGTCTGGGGATGACCTGGAGAGGGCGCATCAGGTTCTCTTTGCAGTTTTAATTCTTGAGGTGGACTTTTTACAAAATCAAAGATACAAACAGAAAGACTCAATTAGAAAATAGTCATATTTATACAGATCTATTAATATATAATCATGTCCTTAGAAATATCTAGAACAACACATTCTCAAAGCATTTGTCCTCTTCACCTGTTAGCTTTCTCAATTTGAATTCTGACACACACCTGGCTGTTTGTTATTGTTGCTGTCATGTACCACTGAGTCACTACAGGAGTGACACCAGAATGGGGTTCCCAGACCAGTGGCATCAGCATCCACGGAGCTTTTACTCAGGTGGTTGTTGGCTATCATCCACTTGGTCTGACTCATGGTGACTCCATGCACAATGAACATATTGTTACCAAATTTCTGTGCCACCAACACAATTGGTTTTGGAACTTCCTGCTTTCACTCATAGGGCTCTCACAGTCTCAGTCTGATTTTCAGATCGCCAGTCCCTTGTCACTTTCCATCTGGAAACTCTGCTGAAACCCACTCAGCATCATAGCAACGTGAAAGCCTCCAATGGCACACAGATGGCGGCTGCACCTGAGCTTGAAATGCTCTGGCCGGAACACAAACAGGATCTTCTCATGGAAAAAGAGAAGACATGCAAATGTAGAGGCTCCAACCTAGACCTTCTGAAACAGCTGGTACTCAGCAATGTGTGTTTATAAGTTTTCTAGATGATTCTGAAGAGTACCCGTTAAAGAACCATAGCCCTAGAGGCTTGGGAAGGGGCTGTATGGGAGAAGCCACTAGAAAAGGCTTGCTAGTCACCAGAAAAATGGCTTGCTCCTTTTCAAAAGTATGAAAACCACTGCTCTCTTGGCAGGAGGACTTTGTCCTGTGCACTATGGGCAGTGTGGCCGTGTCAAGGGTGCGGGTTTTGTAACACTGTTATGTTCACAAGGCACATACACTAAGGCCAAGCCCTAAGTGCAATGCCAGCTCCCAGCTGCACCACAGCTGAGCACACAATGCCATGGCCACTCCTGGCTGCCAATGCTACATTTCCCTTTCTCAGGATGTCTAGTCTATACAAAAATGCTAAAACACATATCTTGGCACTTCCCAGGAGAGAAAGAAAAGTACATGAGGACCTCACTTTGCTCCTAATGATGATTTTTAGAAACCTTTACTTAAAAGGAAAGTGCCACAGATACTATTTTAGAAAACTTGATATGTGTATTCACTATAGCAAACCAAGGGAGCTCTGATAGCCTAGTGAGAAAGGAGATGAACTGCCTAATCCAAAGGCAGGCAGTTCAAATCCACCAGCTGCGGCAGTGGGGAAAAGATGGGCAATCTTCTCCTGTGCAATTTACGGCCTCTGAAAACCTGCTGGAGGGTCAGCTGTGAGTCAGTTCTAATTCAACAGGACATAGCAACAACAACAACAACAAGCCAAAGTCACTGGACTTGCAAAATCTGAATAGTCAAAGAAGTAATGCAAATTCTGAAAGGAATTACTTTTCCACAGACTGGATCAGAAATCAAGTATTAGTGCTGAGGTCCCCTCTCTGTGCAGGGTTCATGTCACAAAACACAGCTTTCTTTAACCAGCCACACCATCATGATCATATTATTTTACCTTGGTGTATCACAGTGATTTGCCAAAAATAAAATAAAGCAACAACAAAATATGCTCTAGGAATTAAAATGAGGAATTAAAGCTAGTTCAGAGGGAAGACTGAAGGATGACCAAAGAAAGGCATTTTGATTAGAGAAGGCCAGTAGCAAAGCCGAGTGCTAAAAAGTTCTGTTCCGTGCAATGGATACGTGCATACAATGCCAAAAAACATGAGCAGCAGCAGCAACAACAACAACAAAATAAATTATATTCAACAAAGTCTGACAAACTCTAATGCATCAAAGGACTTTATCTAGAAGTAAAGAGACAAACTACAAAATGGGAAAAACAGGGGAACCAGTATTAGAGATAGCCAGCACTCCTACAAAATGACAAAGAAGACAAGCAACCCAATAGAAAAATAGTCAAAAGACATAAACAGGTATTCCTCAAAGCTATACAAACAGCCAACAAACACATGAAATGACACTCAACATCACTAATCATTCAACCAAAAGCAACAAAATCAAGCGCAATGTTGTAGAGTTGATTCCAGTACATAGCAACCCCATCAGGCTCCTGATGCTATAAATCTTTATTGGAGAAGACAGCTGATCTTTGTCCTGTGGAGCTGCTGGTGGATCTGAATTGCTAACCTTCCAGTTAATGTCCCAACTCCTAACACTCGGTCACAATCATTGTTATGTTTTTGCCCTCATTGTACAGCCATGATGTCAATCCTTCTTAATGAAGGTCTTCCTCTTTTTCATTCACCTTGTACTAACTAAGCATGATGTCCTTCTCCAGAGACTGCCCACCTCCCAGCCCCCACATGTTCACGATATGTGAGACAAAGTTTTACCATCCTAGTTTACAATGAGCATTCCACTCAGGTTGCATTTCTTCGAAGACAGATCTGTTTGTTCTGACAATCCACAGAGGGTATGATGTTCTTCATCAACATCATAATCCAAAGGCATCAATTCGCTAGTCTTCCTTATTCACTGGTGACTTTCGGGTACATATGAGGAAATTAAAAAGACCATGGCTTGGGTCAGGCACCCTTAGCCCACACATTTAAAGTCTTCTTTTTTAAAGAGGTCCTTTGCGGCAGATTTGTCCAATGCAATACGTCATTTGATTTGTTGACACTGTTTCCAAGGTCATTTACCCAAGTAAGGTGAAATCCTTGATAATGTCAATGTTTTCTGTTTATCATGTTGCTTATTGGTCCAGTTATGACAACTTTTATTTCCCTTATATTGAAGAGTAATGTGTACTGAGGGCTGATAGAGACTCAAGACCACTCAGTCAGGGCACAAGTGGTATTTATTGGCCAAGTTCCACCAGCACAAGCACGTCCAGGATGCAAGTGCACCAGGGTGGTACAAGCAAGCAGCTTAGAAAGGGGAAGCTGAGGCAGAATGGAGTGGTACCGGGGTGGGGGGCGGGCAGAGAGAGTATCCTTGGCAGGGACTTTCCACAAAGACAGGGCAATTAATGGTTCCTGGAACAGTTTGGTCCTCCTGAATGCTGCCATGTTTAAGGGAGCAAAGAGGGGTATTGTTTTAAGTTCTAGTTGCTAAGCATGAAAGAGAGGATAGTTCGCAGTTATGGGAATGGGTCAGGCCCCCAAATTTGATTTTCATGGCTCTCAAGGTTTTTGATCTTCATCAGTAAGTGCGTCCTGCCCTCTTCACTTACAGCCAACAAGGTTACATCATCTGCATATTGCAGGTTGTTAATAATTCTTCCTCCGATCTTAATGCCATGGTCTCATGCAGTCCAGCTTCTCAGATTATTTCCTGACTTGACAGATTGAAAAAGTATGGCAAAAGGATCCAACCCTTACATAACACAGTCCTTTATTAAACCCAACATCTTCTTGTTCTGTTCAGTAATTGCCTAAGAAATGAGGTGTTACTAGAGTTTATTTTTAATTAAGGAAATTTCTAACTCAGCCAAGAAAAGCACAAGTAAAACTTGTAAAAACACACAAGTAAACGCCTATGTTTCCATCACCCAGCTTCTGCAATTATCAAAGGTATGTTCTAATACCATTTACAGCTTATTAACAAAATTAACAATGTTGTCACATTGTTAAGTACTATCGAATAAATATCAACTCATAGCTAATGCTCCACAAAGGCAGAAAATTGCGCTCCCATGGGCCAGCCGGTAGATTCGAAGTATGTGCCTTTGCGTTGGCAGCCCAACTATTTATCACTAAGGCACCAGAAGTCACTAAGAGAACTCTCATACTGCCAACACTTAAATTTTCTCACGCTTTGTGTTAAGTTAGTTATACTCTCATTTTGAAATTAACCACTGTAGCTATTTCTCCCAAAGATTGATATGCTTGTTTTACCTGTTGCTTTATAATATCTAAACCTAGGAACATTGATTTGATCTACATACAAGTAAACTCCTACTGAAGGTAATAATTAAAAAAAAGTGGCAATACATCAATAAGGTTGTTGTTGTTGTTGTTATGTGCCATCGAGTCGTTTCCGACTCATAGCGACCCTATGCACAACAGCCCTAAACCCTGCTCTGTCCT